CTCCCCTCCTTTCAGAGACACTGCCAGGAGAGGGTTACAAGTATCCCTGATTTCAACATGACACTCTTCCCCACTGCCCCTGCCCCTCCTCCAGGCTGGAGTTGCCAGCAGAGAGCCATGGTACTGTCCGAGGTGCTGAAACCCTGTCCAACCCAATCTGAAGCACTTCTGGTACCCACAGTTTCCTTTGGGCAGAAGATTGCATTCCTATTTTTACAAGGGAGAAATAGAACCTAGAACATGAACAGAACCCAAACTATAACTTTGTTCTTGCCTTCTAGCCCCTTCTATTTTCCCAATTCAGGAAGGCCTCGTGCGCCTCACTAGTGGATGCCCTGGGTGATCTTTTGCAAAGGCTAAGCTAACACAGAAAATGACCCTCTCTTCTCCTACCCACAGTCTCATCTCTGTCTCACCACATGATGACAATGGCAGGACTTCCTGAGGGACAAATCAGAATGCCCCACAGGTGCTGGTATAGGCCTGCCTAGAGTAGTGGGTGTGCATGCTCATGAATCTGTCTCACCTGGGATGCCTGGGTGCAGCTCATCACAATACCCTCTGGGCATTACACATGTGCTGGAGTTGAGACAAACAGTATCTACTCTCTAACCTCAATGCTGAGCATCTGAGCAGGTACCTATTGTGGTTCAGGCACTGATCTGTAAGCTTATGTAGGTCGCTCTCTACATTCACCACAAAGTCTTTTGTCACAGATGAGGACAGTCAGGCTTAAGCAGGATATAGGACTTGCCATATGCAGCGGTGGTGGGGGAAAGCTGGGATTCGAACTCTGTCTGTATTATTTGGGAGTGTCTAGTCTATCAAAGCTCATCACCGTTAGAGCATGTAGAGGCTCCTGCCACTTCTGGATTTCTAATCCTGGCCAAGTTTCTTTCCTGTTTAAATTTCAGCTCATTTGCAAACCAAGGAAAATGGAAGTATATGTCTGCAGGGCTCTTGTGAGACATAAACCAGATGATGCATGCAGCAAGAACACAATGAGTGCTCTCCACTAGGCTGAATATCATTATGATCGGACAAGGTCCTTGATGGCTGGATGGGTGTCTGATGAGCCTTGCCACACCCCATGTCCTTGGCATCATAAACATCAGAGTCTTAGGAATAAAGGGACAATCACAAGAGTCATCAGCATCAGCCCAAGCCTATTCCTGCCCTGTGTCACCGTGGTCTCATGGGGTGGAGACTACCTGGCTATCAAGTCCCTGAGCTCCCAAGGACAGTTCTATAATAATTCATCAGCACCATTCATGTTATGTGCACAGCCCAAGACCCTCCCAGCCCTCATAGGGTCAGTGTTCATAAAGTTGCCCTCACATCTTTCTAAAAGGCCCTTGGAAGGGAGCTGGGGGCATAGCTCAGTTGGTAGAGTGCTTGCCTAGCATGCATCCATTACCATGCTGGCTACTCAAACACAGCAGCAGGCAAGGCTGATAGACTCCTCCCATCTTACATGGATAGGGAAACTGAGGCCTAGCAAGATGAAGTAGCATGGCCGAGGTTACCAAGTTTAGGATGAATCTCCAACACCCAGAAATGAGCTTTTAAAATTAGCTCTTTATTAATTCCCTGAGTCGTGAAATCTTTCAGCAAACAGGCAGGTATGCAGTCACAAATCAACGGACACAGAAAGGCCCTGCTAATTATTACTGACTGTGGGATGCTCTGGGGGAGACTGGGCTCAGTCTGCTCTGCTGATTGATGGCCCCATCCCCCATATTACCAAGCTGGCTAATTGCAGGAAGTCACATCATTCAGAAGCTGGGGCAAGGCAGGAGTAATGGCATCCCTGCCGGGGCCTGGTGCTCCTGGGAAAGAGTCATGCCATTGAGAACAATGACTGCTTTGTAATCACCTCCAACAGCCTTTGTCCAGCTCCACCAGGCCCCAGGGAAGCCTCTCCAGGTGTATAATGAGGCTTAGCAGGAATGGGAGTTCATGGGGTGTCACCAGGACAGCCTGCACAGTCTATTTTATCTTAGAGCACCATGAAGGCAGGACTCAATGGTGAGAGGATTCTGATGATCTGATCACCAATTTTCCCCCCCCCCCCCCCCCGTCATCAGTGGAGGAGTGTTCCCCTTACTCTGCATCCTCTCCAGCATAAGCCGTCATCATGGCTGGGGGCAGTGAGCACATGGACAGACAAATGCTCCCTTCCCAGCCCTCCTGGAACCTCAATTTTCTTTTCTGAGTAGCAGTGATTATTCAGACAACAGGGGGCAACAGGGGGAACAGAGGAGGGAGAGTATGAACAAATCCATGACAATGTACACCACCAGACCATGGTGACTCTCAGCAAGTCCCCAGTTAGGTGCACCAATGTGTCCATGAAGTCTGCAAAGTAAACCATCTAAGAAATCAGTGGCTTCAGGGCTAGGGACATAGCTCAGTTGGTAGAGTGTGTTGATACTTTGTGATCTAACAAATAAAGCTTGCCTGAAGATCAGAGTAAGGAGCTAAGCCAGGAGTTAGCCATAGAGGCCAGGTAGTGGTGGCACATACCTTTAATCCCAGTATTTTGGAGTCACACACCTTTAATCACAGCACTAGGAAGGTGGAGACAGGAAGGGACATGGGCAGAGAGAGGCATATAAGGCGAGAGGAGACAGGAGCTCAACACATTTAGTCTGAGGATTCCAAAAGGCAAGATCTTGCCCACTTCTGTCTTAGGATTTAGTAGAAGTAAAAAGTCTCTCTAGTGGCTGGCCCCTTTACTTCTCTGATCTTTCAGCATTTACACCAGTATCTGACTCTGGGTTTTTATTATTAAGACCAATTAGAATTTGAGCTACAGTAAGTAGAGTGCTTGCCTAGCATATATGAAACCCTGAGTTTAAGCCTTAGCACTACATAAAAATGGTGATGTGTACTTGCAGTTCCAGCACTAAGTGTGTGGAGGTAGGAAGATCAGGAGTTCAAGGTCAGCTTCAGCTACTTAGTGAGTTTAAGTCTAGCCTAGGCTACATGAGGTTCTATCTAAGAACAAAACAGTGGGTTCTTCCTCCCCTGTCCACATTTGTATAGTAAGGACCTGGGGCCTGAGAGGAGAAGCCATTCCAAAGTCATAGACCTATTCACAGCATGTCCCCAGCAGCCTGCTTCTAAGTTCAAGGTTATCTCTACTACATAGCAAGCCAGAAAACCTGTAATACATAAGACTATCTTTTTTTTTTTTTTTAAGATTTTATTTTATTATGTATACAGTTTTCTGCCTGCATGCCAGCAGAGGGCACCAGATCTCATTCTAGGTGGTTGTGAGCTACCATGTGGTTGCCGGGAATTGAACTCAGGACCTCTGGAAGAGCAGTCAGTGCTCTTAACCGCTGAGCCATCTCTCCAGCCCCCTATATAAGACTATCTTAAAAAACAAATAACGAAGGAAAGGAAGAAGGAAGGAAGGGAGGGAGGAAGGGAGGAAGGGAGGAAGGGAGGGAGGAAACCCTGCTATGCATCTGCTTCCTACACAGTCAGAACCACTGACCAGCAGCACCCACATTTTGTAGGAACTTATCAGATATATAAAGCTTCAGCCACACCGAAGACATGCTGGATCTGAACCTGTAATTTACCAAGGTCCTACAGTATCTACAGTGGCTCCAGGCATCACTTCTGTTTACCTGGAAGCAACCATGTGAGGTGAGAGAGCCCCTTCACAGAGGATAAACAGAACCCAAGAGAATGGGTCCAAGGTCACATGATTGGTAGGTAAGACAGGCAGGATATGTGTGACCAGGTCACAGGTTTCAACGCCATGAACACTTCTCAAAGTGCAATGGAACATTACCAGGCTGGGGGGGGGGAAGGGGAGGTCTTCAGACTGGCTGAGCATATCCCATCCTCAGTGTCAACTTCCCTCCAAATCAAACCTTGTAAAGACCAGCATGATTGATGAGGAAATACAGTGAACAAACATGTAGGGAAAATGTTCGCTCTACCTAGTAATCAGACATGCAAATGAGAACAACATTTAGGAGCCATTCTCTACCTATATAATTAGCAAGACTGGGGGTGATAAAAAAGCAAGCCAAAATGTTCTGAACAAGGCACATGCATATACAACCCGAGACAGCATAGATTTATATAACCCTTTGGGAAAGTGATCTGGCAACATCCATCAAGAGCCATGAATATATTGTACCCGCTGACCTGGGAATTCACCCGAAGGAAATAATTCAACAGGACAGCGGGGTGGGGAGCTGCATGTGAGAAGATGCTCACTGCAACACTGGCTGTGAACATGGGAAAATCTAATATTCTGCAGGAAAGGAAGCTGGGAAACTGGGCACCTACCAGCTCCTGCTCTGCTAGGCAGCCATCTGAAATGACAATTAAGAAGTCCAAGCGGTAACATAGAAAGGTGAGTAAAAGAAAGAGTGGGGCTGGAGCTGGAGCTCAGAGGTAGCTAGTGCACTCATCTCACATGTGGGAGGCTGTTGGTTCAATCCTCAGGACACCCCCAACACACACACACACACATACAACACGCCATACCCCTACACAGAATTAACATCACCCAGCCTGACAGTGCATGCCTATTATCCCGGTACACAGAAAGCAGAGGTGGGTGGATCTCTGTGATTTTGAGGCCAGCTCAGTCCTCATAGTGAGTTCCAGGACAGTCAGGCATCCAGTGAGGCCTTGTTTTAAAATAAATAAGTAGAAAGGAAAATGCAAAACTGCATCTGTGAGCTGGGGCTAGGATAAATATTGTATGCACAGGAAAACAGGGCAGAGCTGGAAGGAGAGGAAGTCAGTTTCAGAGTCGACAGTGGACACTGGACAGACTAATGCCTTTTTCTGTTACTCTTGATGTTATTAACCTCAGAGAATAGCTTCAAGGGCTCTCAGACACAGACTCTATGTCTGAAGGTGACACGGAGACAGTCCTATCCCTCATTCCTGGACAGAGGGTCACACTCCAGATTGCCAGAAGTATGGGAGACCAGGGAAGCTATGAGAGGCCCCTCCTGACTTACCATGAAGCCTGGGGCACATGTGCAGCCCCCGGTGATGCTGTGGCAGTCAGCGCCATTCTGGCAGGTGCAGGGCAGCTGGCAACCATTGCCGTAGTAGCCGGCAGGGCAGGACTCATTGCAGAAGTGGCCTGACCAGCCTGGATGGCAGGTACAAGCTCCAGTGACTGGGTGGCAGCTGAGCAGAGGACAAAAGGGATAAGAGGACATTCCAGTCAGGGTGGCAACTGTGTTCCCTCTTGGGCCCTCCCCAAATCTAGTACTTCCATGGTAGTAAGTAAGATCAAAGGACCTCTGTGGTTAAGCTAGCCATGCCTTGTGGTTTATGAGAAGATGTCATGGCCACACGTGGTCTCATTAGTTCCCAGATAATATGGCTCATCGTTAAGTAACTTCCCTAAGTCATTTAGCAAGGAGGCACTTGACCAGGGTTAGAACCCAGGCCTTCTAATTTCCAAACATGCACTTTTTTTCTTTTGAGACAGGGACTCATGGAGCCCAGGCTACCTTTGAACGTCCTATATAACCGAGGGTGACACTGAATTTCTGGTACTCCTGCCTCTACCACCCAAGGGCTCAGATGACAAGTATGTGTCACCATGCCCTGTTTATGCAATGTTGGGATCAAACCCAGGCTTCCTGCACACTAGGCAAGAACACTACCAACTGAGCTACCCACCCCCAATGTATATTCTTTAAAAAACTACACAGCGCAAAGCATAGGGCAGTGTCTTACTCCCTCGATTTATAGATACTCATAGTCCAGAGTTCTCATCATTCACCACTCACACATAGCAGATACCTAAGGAAGGGCCACATGAGAAGGCAACCGTGATACCTGTAGCTCTCTATAGAGTAGACACTTGATGAACATTGATAGCTTTAAAACAAGACCTCAGGACAGGGTGACTCCTCACTGACAATGTCTGTACCTAAGGGACCTGCCACTTGGGCTTCCTTATGCTCTGTAACAGAGCAAGCCCTTCTCCCTCTTTTATCTGTTAAGGCATCAGGGGCATGACCCTGGAGTGGGCCAACTTTGATTGACAGTGGTCTGGTCCAGCAGCCAATAGCCATTCCTGATCAGGAGCTCCCAAATGTGGAGTGCCTAGTTTCTGTGGGGGTGTAACTACTCATGACACCATCTGCTGAGCCCACATGCTGGGGCATTTTCCCTGAGATGATCTCAGCAGATACTGAGGTGGGCCACTCCTGGGAGGCCTGCTCTGATGGGCTCCTGTGGCCTCAAGACTCCTTTGCTGGCCACACTTTCTCAGAATTCTGCTGTGAGCTGATTGTCTCCCTTCTTTCCCTTCCTTTGAGCTCTCTGGGAGTCAGGCCTAGCAGCCCTTCCCAGCCCTCCAGAGCTCAAGTCCACCTCCCCACTCCCCCAACCCAACACGTCTCCTTTTAAGTTTCTCTCTTGTGTGGTTCTAGAGAACCAGTCTAGGGCTTCCTGCAGACTAGGCAAGCACTTTTCACTACATGCCCACCTGGATCTCTCACGCTTGGCATTTACTTCTGGGCCAGCCCCAACTAGCACAGCAGAGGTAGTGGAAACAAGCTGCTCAGATCCTGGGTCACCTCCTCCCTGCCCTGGAATCCAGCCCAGGTCTGATCTGGGAAGGCCTGCAGTGGCTCCCTGGTGTTCCGGTGTTCATCTTTGTTCCTTTTAAGTTCCGCAAGGACAGGGCTTGGTGTCCCTGGGTTGGTGTTGGCTCCCAGCTCCCAGCTCCTAGTCACTATTCAGTTTACACACATAAGAATGCATATTGCTCTTTTCTATACTTAATTATTTTCTTTTTGAGACAGGGCCTCACGTAGCCCAGGCACTCATATAGCCTTAAACTTGCTCTATAGCTGAGGATGGTCCTGGGCTTTATGTTTTTGCATTATTTATTTATTTTGTGTGTATGGGCACGTGGATGCCACGGCACATGTGTAGACGTCAGAGAACAACTTGTGGGAGTCAGCTCTCTCCTTCTACCATGAGGAACCCATCAAGCTTGACGGCAAGCAACTTGTCAGCCTATCTCACCCAACCCTGCACTACTGATCCTCCTGCCTCTACCTCTCCAGTGCTAGGTAACAGCATCGTTACCACACCTGGTTTTTAGGCTGTGCTGGAACTCGAACCCAAGGCTTCATGTTTGCTACGAAAGCACTCTGTCTGCTGAGCTACAACCCTAGCCCTCTGTGTTTGATTATTTTCTGTGCCAGTTGACTTGTTTGTTTTCTGTCTACCCACTAGGTCTCAGCTCCCTGGGGGAGAGCCCTTGTCTGTCTTGTCACCTCTCAGGGCCCAGTGGGGTTCCTGGCACAGGGGAAGTGTTGACCTCATGGCATGCTTAAATAAACGAATTAATGAACAGACTAACTGTGAGCAGCCAGCCGGCCTCTCTTCTAGGGAGCCCTGGTGTTCTTGTAGAAAACGAGGGGTGGACTAGAGCAGACAGTTCTGGAATGATAAGTGCCAGCAGCTAATAATCACTTCAGAAAATGTTTAGTCTCATTAATCATCCAGTCAAAACAACAATTGGATATTACCTTCTCTCTATCAAAACACGGACGAGCTTTTCAAATGCTGGTAAAGGTTTCCAAACAATCTGAGGTTATGTATCAGGAGGCCTAAATATATGCAGATGCCTTGGCCTTGTAATTCCATTTCTAAGAATCTATCCTAAGGAAACAATCATGGTTGTGGAGGAAGATTTATGCACAGAGATGTTCCCTGAAGCATTATTTATAACAGCAGAAAATGGAAGCAATTTGAATAATAATAAATAATATGTGACCAGGCTATTAAAGCACCAGGCACCTCACACATATATCTCTTATCTTCCACAAACCTGTGAGGTAGGAACGTGAGCCTCCATTTTACAGGTGGTACCCAGAGGTTCTGGGACCCGACCAAGGTCACAGGGATAAGTGAGTGAATGATGGAGCTGGGGTTTGAACCAAGGTCTGGCCATATTTATCCTGTGCTTCCTGTCACCTCTGACAAGAAAGTGCTAGTTAAATGGGTTAGGACTAGCCTTAAGAAGGCATGTTAGATGCCAGGGATGGTGGTGCACACCTTTAATCCCAGCACTCAGGAGTCAGAGGCAGGCGGAGCTATGTGAGTTTGAGGCCAGTCTGGTCTACAGAGTGAGTGCTAGGACAGGCTCCAAAGCTACACAGAGAAACCCTGTCTTGAAAAAAAAAAGATTAAATAAAATATCCAAATTATATACAAAGTCATAATTTCAGGGCTAAGGATACACTTCAGTGCCTGCGAAATATGTTTGAGGCTTTGGGTTCAATTCAGTACCCCTCCCCCCCCAAAAAGAAAACAAACAACTCCCCAACAAAACCCTACCACAGGAGCTGGAGAGATGGCTCAGTGGTTAGGAGTACTGGCTGCTCTCCCAGAGAACCCAGGTTCAATTCCCAGCACCCATATGGTGGCTCACTATGTCTAAACCACCAGTTCCAGGGGAATCCGACACCCTCACACAGACATACATGCAGGCAAAATACAAAAGCACATAAAGCAAATAAATAGATCTTAAAATAAAGCCCATAACAAACAAAACATGAGTCACACACAAACAAATCCTCAAACCAAAATAAAATCCCCCCAAACTAACGTCATGATCTGAACTGTGAGAAATGTACAGGTGCTGGGATCCAAACTCAGGTCCTCTGCAAGGACAGTTTTTGCTTTAACTGCTGAGCTGTCTCCTGACTCCACTCCTTTCCTTCTCACACCCTTCTAGTCTCTATTATTGTTTTTTTTTCTTCTTCTTCTTTTTTTTACTCGGACACAGGATTCATGAAGCCCAGGCTAGACTTTAACTTGCTATGAAGCTGAAATTGGCCTTTCAATTCTCCTGCTTCCCCCTCTGAAGTACTGAGATTTCAGGTGGTACACCAGTTTATTGGGTGCTGGGGATGGAATCCAGGGCTCGGCACATGCCACATGTGGGGGTTTGAATGAGCATGGCCGCCATAGGCTCGGGTATTCGAATGCTTGGTCCCTAGTTGGGAAACTGTTCGGAAAGGAATAGGAGGTGTGACTTTGCTGGAGGTGTGTCCCTGGAAGTGGACTTTGAGGTTTCAAAGGCTGAGGCCAGGCCCATGCTGGCGCTCTTTCTGCTTGCTGCCTGAGAATCAGGATGTAAGCTCTCAGCCACTGTTTTAGCTCCATGCCTGCCTGCCACCATGCTTCCTGCTTGCGACCATTCTTCCTGCCATAATGCTCAGGAACTGACCCTTTGAAACTGTAAGCAAACTCCAATTAAATGCTTTCTGTTATAAGCTACCTTGGTCCCGGTGTCTCTTTATAGCAATAGAGCAGCAACTAAGACTCTAGGCAATCACTCCACCAGCTCAACTATATCCCCAGCCCTACAATTCTATTTCTAGAAATAGAACATTAGCTCCTTAATTTGATGATATATTATAATTCTCTAAAAGTCCCTCTAAAAAGATGCTGAGGAGTGACAGCAGACAATTTGGCTTTTTATTTTTGTTTTTTTGAGACTATGAAGCCCAGGCTGGCTTTGAACTCATGGCAATCCTTCTGCCTGCATGTCCCCCTGCCAAGACCTCCCTACCCCTGGGTCACCTGGCTGTTCGGGCAGTGCTGGGGGAGGCCTGGACCAAAGTCTGCATCACTGATACTCAGGCCGTCGCCTCTGTGTCAGGTTTTCCAGTTTTTCTTCCTTTTCCCCAGACACAGATTAATCACTAGCTAACAGGACCCGAAAGCTGCACAATGCACACAGCAGCTTCACAGAGTGGGTTTTTCTGCCTTTCTTTTGCCCTGATGAGATTTCTATCTCTGTGGCATCTGCTTGCTAAATCAAATCTTTCAAAGGTAATCTGCCATCATGGCCACTGGAATTCATCTATGACAATCCAATTTCAGAGGGAACATTTAAGAGGCCTGACACCCAGACACTGTCCTCAAGGTGAATGCTCTATGAAGAAAGGTGGTCTCTTTTGTGTTTCCACAGTGCTCATAGAGGAAACAAAGTTCCCCAGCACTGCTCCTTCCCAGGGCAACCCAAAACCTCTCTGTGGCAGGTAACCAGAGGGGAAAGGGCAGGAAGAGGCTGTGGGTGGGTTGGGGTTGGAGTCCTGTGTCTCCTCAGAAGGACCCTGGAGACTGGAAGCCATCATTCTTTCCAAGTTCTGCACAAGTTCAGGAACAAATGAGGCAAGACTTCCAGTGACTTCACCTCCACCCCACTCCGGAGGACCATAAGAGAAGTTGCCCCTCTGCTGATCAAAAGTGATAGACAGAATGGGAGACAGACATAGAGAGGAGAGGGTTATATATCAGGATATTTTCTTAGGTAGGTATAAAGAACCAGCCTGCCTCCATCTTAGACTTAAAGGCCATCTTATAGTAAAGACAAACAAGGCTAATTCTTGTTAGGATTAAACCTCTGTTTCTCAAGGATTGGGCAATGCCCTACCTGTTACCTCAACTACAAATGGTTCTGTACTGCACATTCCAAGAATGTCAATCATGTCTTTGTTTCAAAAAGTTGTTTATAACCATCTTGCAACCTTACCTTTGTTTCAAAGGTTTATGAACACCTGTGACTACCTTGCTGTGACTACGACTACGTTGATATGCCCAAACTATGTCATTGTTTCAGGAGGTCTTGGGTGATTGCTATGCTCACATCCTGTTCCTGTAACTCTGCCTATTTTGCCTGGCAAATTCCCCATTTGGAACCCCCCACCCCTGAGCTATAAAAGCTTTGCCTTCCTCACATCCAGTGCTGACCTCCTGAACCCTGCCTTAGGAGTAGGCGGCCCATGTACAAGAATAAACATGCTTGCTTTAATTAATTGCTTGCTTTAATTAGTTATTCCATGGTGATTTGGGTTGGGTCCTTCTCCCATCTTTGGGATTAACAGTAGATCTGTGGCCAGGACTGAGGAGACCAACTCCCACCCAATACCTGCAATTTAACTGCCTTAAGATTGGAATTATACCTCCCAATCTGCCTCTCCCTCTCTCCCTCCCTCTCTCTTTCCCTCCCTTCCCCCTTTCCCCTTCCCAGTTTTCTTATTTTGAAACAAGATCTCATGGTGCCCATTCTGGCCTCCAAGTAGCCAAGGATGACCTTGAACTTCTGATCCTCCTGCCTTTGTCTCCTACATACTGGAATTGCTGATGTGTGCCGCCATGCCCATTTAAGCTGTATTGGGAACTCTGGCCTTATGCATGCCAAGCAATGCTCTACCACCTGAGGCATACCCCTAACTGCAGGTCTTTGCTTTCTTTGTATCCCAAGAGAAGGCTCTATCTATAGTGAGCCAAAGCTTCATGGGAGGAGAAAGGCTGAGCTTTGTCCACACATAGGGAGAGACCTGTCCTCTGTGTGCATAAGGACAAAACCAAGAGCAGCAAGGATTCAGGTAGGCCAGAGGTTCTCATCTCAGACATCCTGCTTCCTCTAGCCTACCTGGACATTTGACACTGACTGGAAAGATCTTTGGGTGTCAGAACTTGAAGAAGAGTGAATATTTAAAAGGCAAGTGGGTGGAGCTACCTAGAGGGATGCACTGTTTAATATGAATTCAGTGATGCCTGTCACTGAAGGCAGTGGCTGAGGCAGTGGTGACAGAGATGGACAAGGCAGGGTGCTGGTGCTCTCAGGGGTCCAGGCTTGGGATCAGGCTCTCCCCAAGGAGGTGGTGCTTTGGAGTCTGAGCAGCCTGCCGGGAGCTGGGCTGGCAGGCACCTTCCAAGAACCCAGGCCTAAGAAGGGCTTTTGCCTCCTCATTCCTTGAAACATGACACACGTTAAAGACAGTAAAGCAAATAATCATTAATATTGGATGGGCTGAGATTAGCGACAGAGAAGAGGGAGTCCTTCCAGATTAATAATGCATGGAGAACTCCTTCAGAAGAAAGATAAATTATGCAGGGCACGGTTGCTCAGGCATGGGAGGAAAACAATAGCTTTTTAATTTGGGGCTTGAGTGGATCTCTGTGGTGGGGACTCTTCCTGAATGGGGACCTCAGCAGCCTCCTTGGCTTCCCAGCAGGAATGGGGTGTCCCTATGCTGTCTTCCACCTGTGAACTGTTTTCTCATCTCATACTTGAGACCCTTAGACCTCTCACCCTGTCCTTCAGTCCAGACAAAACCTCATTTGGCCAAACCATAGCATACCACACCCAACATCAGAGGTTGAGAAATATTAGGGTAGAAATAAATGTTCCTGGCTCTGCTGGTTCCCAACATGTATCCAAGTCACTGTGACCTTGGATATGTGCTTATAAGATCACAAAGCACCACCATGCTGGTCAGGAAAGGCATCCTGGAAGAGGTTTGATGGAATGGATTAAGTCCATGAGAACACAAAGCAAGGCTACCAGACACTACTGGAGGTGCCTAGTATTGGAAAACTATTCTAGAAAGCGCCTGGTGCCAGTGAAGACTCAGAATCTGAGATCCTAAAAGTACTTGGGCTTCTCTCCTGTAGCCTGGCCCTGCCCTCTGGGTACACCCCATGTTTGCTGAATGGATAATAAGGCACAGAAGAGCTCGGGTCATGCATAGACCTGCTGCCTTGGGTCTAGGCTCTTTCAGTGTAGTTCTCCTCTGAGACGCCACCAAGGAACCATATTCATCTAAACTGATACATGCTGGGATGCCCGGCTTGCTGTGACGGGAGGCTCCAGGGTGACTTGTGAGAAACGAAACAAGGAAGAGAAGAGGGGCCTCAGAGCAGAGGCCTTCTCTGCTGGCCATCTGCACAGTATCCACTGTCCGGGCCAGCCTGTCTACCTGGGGTGTTCATAGTCCAAGAGAAAGGCTGTTCCCCACCCCTTACTGTCCTGATAGCAGGCAGTCAGATATCTCCAGAGCTGACAGCCCTACTAACAGAATGCAGGGCAGCTGCAGTGGCTAGCAGGAAGGAAAAGTGAACCTACTTAGGCTCAGTCCTTTCTGGAGATAGGGGAGGGACTAGCTACTGTCTGCATATTTCCAAGGCACTCTGGACATAGAGGCCATTCTCTGTCCTTCCTGTTCTCCTACCTGGCCAGGGCCTCTCTGGATCCTGGGATGAGCTTTCTATGGCTCCAGCTTCAGGTTAGATGCTCAGGGTGAAGAAAAGAACTCTCTAAGATAGATTACCAGACACCATGCCATGAGCCCTGTCACCCCAAACCATCCTGGCCCCCAGAACAATCCAGTCCTAGACCCCTGGTTCCCTGGGTCGTTCCTGTGTGAGGCTTGAGATTGACCCATGTGAAGCCCAGGCAGCTGGACATGGAGAATGGGTGGCAGGTGACTGAAGGTCTGGTCCTGAGTCCAGCTGGTGGCATTAGTTTTCACTTTTTATCAGAGCGATCAAAGCCTTGAAGGCTCAGCTTCTCCCAGCTGGATGGCTGGCCACTCTGGAGGTGTGGCCACAGCCTGGGAAGCCTTTCTCCATCATGGGGACCTACCCAGCCCCTGCCCCAGGCTTACCTGTCCACAGTTCATACCTGATAGTGTTCTCAGTGTCACAGGGACAGGGCAAGGTGCAGCCTGGGCCATGCAAGCCCTCAGGGCATAGCCGCTCCTGGCAGCTAGGGCCCTTGTAGCCAGGCTCACACTCACAGGCACCTGTAGCTGGTGAACATTGACCTCCATTGTGGCAGTCACAGCGCTGAGAGCACCGGAAACCAAAAGTTCCAAAGGGACATTCCTCTTGGCACCTGTGGGAGAGCAGAGGAGGATGGAGCTGTGGGCCAGAGCCCTTGCTTGCCTTGTGGATGCATCTGCACAGACCCTCCTCACTTGGAGTACCTGGTGTGCTCCCTCCCTTCCAGCCTCTCCCCGTTTCCATGGGAACTTCACCCCATGTCTCCTTAGCAGCCAGGATGAACCTCTATTATCTGTGTCATGGTGCAAAACTTTGTTTCTTTTTCATTGTTAAAACTGATAAGGCTGGTATTGTGGTGCATGCCCATCATCTTAGCAACTTGGGAGGCTGAGGCAGGGTGGTGCCGTTAACTTTGGGCCAGGGTTCCAGGCTACCTGTGCGACTGTGGTCCTTATGTGACTGAAGTCCTCTTAAAAAAAAAAAAAAGTATGATAAAATGTGTGTGCTGATCCCAGACAGAGGTGGATCTCTGTGAGTTCGAGCCAGACGCTCTACAGAGCGAGTTCCAGGACAGGCTCCAAAACTACACAGAGAAACCCTGTCTCAAAAAAACAAAAACACAAACAACAACAAAATAATGTATGCCTGTGGTTTGAATGTTTGTTTGTTTCCTTCAAAATCCATGAAGATTTTTTTTGTAATTAATTGTATAATAAATCAGTTTAATAAACATGAGTACATTTAAAGAATCATGTAGACAACAAGGCTGGCTTCAAACTCACTATGTAGCAAAGGGTAACCTTGAACTTCTCATCTTACCTGTTCCACATTCTGAATGCTACCATGCCTGGTTTATGTGGTGCTAGGAATTTTGTGTTGTTTTGTTTGAGACACAGTCTTACTCTGTAGTTCAGGTTGTTGTCTTAGAATTCACTATGTAGCCCAGAATGGCTTTGAATTCACAGCAACCCCCCTGTCCCATACTCCTGCCCGCTGGGATTACTGTTATGTGCTTTCCCATGTTTCAGGCAGAAGCCTCTCATCCCTATCATAGGGCTCCTCCCCCCAGGGTGGAATTTCCCTCAATTTTAGTGTCTTCCTCCTACACCATGCTGCACACTCCCAAAGACTGGCTATTTGCTCTTCCTGGGATTTGAGAACTCAAGGCAGGGGCTAGCTCTCTCTCTCTCCTACCAGCCAGTGAGTCCCCAAGGTGGAGGACAGGTGGCTTTTGTGCTGTGTGAACTCAAACAGGTAGGTACTTGGAGGTCTCTGCATTCTGGGAATGCCCTAGCCTTTAGGCCTTTAGATGGTGAACTTTTGTGTGACCTCTGCTGGCTTCCCGAATGTGCTTTAGCAACTCTTGCTGCAGTCCAGGGTAATTTCCCAGGGGCTACAAGCTCATTGTCACAGCAACTGGACCTTGGGGAAATAAGGGGCTACCCTTTGGGCAACCTGTGCTTCTGGGGCTGGGGACTATCTATTTCTTAACTCTACTTCAATGATACAGATGATGAACTGAGCTAAACTTCTGATGGGCCACTTCCTCCTCATCAAATGAGCTGGTAACCCCCCATCAGGTTGTTTGAAGATTAAATAAGATAATACTAGGGACTGGAGAGATGGCTTAGCAGTCAAGAGCTCCAATTTGACTTGCAGGACCTGAGTTCTGTTTCTAGCACCTGCATTGGGCAGCTCACAACCACCTGTAACTCCAGATCCAGGGGATCTGACAGCCTTTGTTAGTCTCCTCTGACACTGCGCTCAAACGTACATAACACGGCCCCATACACATAATTAATTTTTAAAATGTGTATAACTATCCAGAAAGGCAGCCAAGATACCATTATTTGTTGTTACTCTTAAATAAATGTCTTAACTGCTGACTCATCTCTCCAGTTCTTATGTTTGTTACAGTGAAAGGCCAAACCACAGCCATCCTAGAGAAAAAGGGCCAGAAATAGCACTATGTGAGAACCTGACCCGATGACCTGTGCAGATGGCTCACACCATCCCCCAGAAAAGCTGACAGGCAGGAAGGGGAGACAAATGGCCCTGACCCCAGAGCAGCCAACCAGAAAAGTTGAGAAACAACTTTTATGGGCACAAAAGGTACAAGAGAGAAACCCCTGGAAAGTCCCCAATCCCCCTGGACTCTGCAGCCAATCAGCTTCGAACCTGTACCCCTAACCCTATTTTGTGATCTTTGCCTTTATAAACCCCTTGCTTATGAGGCTTGGGGCCTCCTCCTATGGCTGCTGTGCCAGTCTGTGGGATGAGGTCCCTGCTTATGCTTGAATTTAATAAAGAAACCTTGTGCTTGCATTTGGGGAGTCAGCTCATTGGTGGTCTCTCTGGAGGTCTTTGTGGACTGGGCATAACAACAGCAGGTCTGACCCTCTTGCCTTAGATTTGGGCATGAAAAGGCTAGAAGAAAAGAATTCTGAATATAATAGAAACACAGACTTGAGAAATTAGAAGTAGTTTAATTATTACTTGTATGGAGGTCAGAGGACAGACTGTAGAGTTGGCTCATATAAGGTAAACAATCTGAGCTTACTTCCAGGTTTTGAAAACCTACTAGTCCCTGAGCTCAAAAACCCACCAATACCTGAGCTTGAAAATGTACCAATCACTGAGCCCAAAGTCCCATCAATTCCTGGGCTCACTCAGGACTTGAAATTCTACCAATTCCTACTCTGAAAATATCTACCCTGGAAAACTCTGCCTCCAAGAAACCCTCATAAGCTTGTCTCCCATTCAATTCCCTGTTGCTTTTTACCACAGCAGAGGCAGCCACCCTCTTGTATCTTTCCCTATAAATCTCTTGTGTGTGGTTTGTTATATGGTGGTATTCCTTGGCTCCAGACTGCCAGGACATTTTCCCCCTCAGAGCTGTAACACTTAGAGTTCTCTCCTTTCACTTCTGCATGTCTTCCAGGGAGGGAACTCAGGCCATTGGGCTTTGAGTAGCAGGCACCTTTATGTGCTGAGTTATCTTACCAACCTCCTCCCCCTAAGATTTATACTTTGTGTTCAAGCATGGCCTTGAACTTCTGATTATTTTACCTCTACCTCATGAGTACTGGAATTATAGGCATGAACCATCAAAGCCTGTTTACTCAGTACTGGAGATGGAACACAGGTCTTTATGCATGCTAGGCAATCATCCTACTGAGATACACCCTCATTTGTTTATTTTCTAAATGTACCCTGTGCTAGCTAGTTATATATCAACTTGACATAAGGAACCTCAATTGAGAAAATTTCTCCATAAGATGGAACTGTAAGGCATTTTCTTAATTAGTGGTTGATGTGTGGGGCAGCCTATTGTGGGTAGGACTACCCCTGGGCTGGTGGTCCTGGGTTCTATAAGACAGCAGGCTGATCAAGCCAGGAGAATCAAGCCAACAAGCCATACTCTTCCATGGCCTCTGCATCAGCTCCTGCCTCCAGGTTCCTGCCCTCCTTGAGTTCCTGCCCTCACTGCTTTTGATGATGAACTGTTATATGGAACTGTGAATGAAATAAACCTTTCCCTACCCAAGTTGCTTTTGGTTATGATGTTTGATCACAGCAGTAGTTCCCCTAACTAAGATATACCCATTCTTCTTCTTCATAGACAGGGCAGGGAAAGTGTGGTCATACTGAGAGGCTGGTGGCCTAAAATGAGGACAAGTGGATACCCCAGTAGACTTGGGGGGCAGCATTGTATATGGGGGGATTGAGAGAAGCCAGAGTATTGGGGACTAGTCCTGGCAACTAGAGACCAGGTGTCCTTGTTTCTGTCTTTGTGCTGTGCCGAGAATGACGAGAAAGAGGAGAGGGACTGGGAATAACTTTAGAACCTCCCCCAAGGGAGATGCTACCAGGCTATTCCCTCTTAGAGCCACTATGTGAGGGGAGGCATGAGAAAGATCTAGGCTGCCATGGGATGCCCCAACCTGCTGGGACAGGAACAAAGGGAGGGGTTCCTGGGGAGGAAGGGCAGGTGTCAGGCAAGAGAGAGAAAGGAGGAGATGAGAAGGGAGGAAACTGAGGTAGAAGACAAGGAGCAAGAACAGCTAAAGTCTCACTATCTAAACCATCAGCCCCTGCTCAGCCTCCAGATTTCTCCACAGACCTCTGCAGGCCTCAGAACTCTCTGATGTCAGGAGAGAAACTCACACCAGGAGACACCTGCTCCCTTGGATTGGAATATTCCTGCCCATGCCTGCCCAGCACTATAGACAGAGCTGCTCTGAAGATAGTGTCCCACCTGGCTGTATTCCAGGAGAGGGGGCACTATATCCACATGCCCAGAAAAAAAATTCTAGAAATGAAATATTGACAACCTAATCCATTTCCATAATCAGTCTCTTTTTACTTTTCTTCCTATTCACAATTTAAACAACTTATTTATTTAGAGATCAAGCAAAGACTGCTAATGAATTTTACACAAAGCACACTAATAACTGGCCCTTGGAACAGGAGGGTAATCACAGCAGGGATTAGCTTTCTACTTAAACACCCTTCCTTCCCAATGTATCAATCTAATGTGTCCGATATTGCCATTAACAACCAGATACATTGCTCAATTAAATTACAAGTTACGTTTCGTGTTTAATTTGAGCTGGATCCCGCCTATCTGGGGAGACCGCATTATTATACCCACTTGGTTTTAATATGCTCATGATAATTTGGGGTGGGCTAATGCAGCTGTCACCTACAAAATTAATGGAGGCAATTTTACAAAATATTAAACACCAGGCAGCCTGTTGAGGCGGGAAAGCCAAATGCTCACAGTGCTCTGCATGAACTCTCCTGAGGCGGGTTGGGAAGCAAGCTGGAAGGCCCATGGTTTTGGATCTTTTCTCTTCTCTGGGATTAGGGGTGAGACTCCAAGAAGAGACACTTGGGATTATTTCTGGCCTTGATCAACCCTGAGAGCCAATGAGGTCGCTCTACTGGTGCCTGGTAGCTTGCTAGAACCCTGACACTACTTTCCAACAGATGACAATTCTCATAACAAAGCTTCAGGGCTGGCTACATCATCTGCAAAGCAGCAAAGCACCAGTGATTTTCACAATAAGAATGAATTCTATTGGCTGATAAACAGGGCTAGGGCTAGGGCCAGGGCCTAACGAAAGATCTGTGATCCACATAAGGATAGATTCTATTGGTAGAGGACACAAAGAACATGCAGCCTCTTTCAGGCTGGCTAATAGCAATAGCTAATTGTCACAAAGGATCACCAGGTTGTTTGATCATGTCGCTTCAGCATTCCAGGTGATCAGGCATCATTCATTTCCTTCCAATGAAGAAAATACGTCTGTGTGATTGACAATCCTGGTTCACCAATGCTTACTCTAAGCTGTATTATCTCCTCTCGCTTTATCTAGAAAGAGTAACAACATTCAGGAACCTGAGGTGAGATTTGGATCCACTCGCACAGAACCAGGCAAAAGGCAGGGATTCCTCTGGCCGTTTGGTGGAGGAAGGGGTCCTGCCCAGAGGTCTGTGGACGCCTGTGGTCCTCCACCTCCAGTTTTCCACCAGCTACACAGGCCTTGCTTCTCCCTCTTCCACTGTGCTGCCCTGGCCCCATAGCTTTCTTCCAACTGGTGCAATTGTGCCCAGAAGGCAGTTCCTTGTTATGAGTTCTGTTGCCTGTCCCCTCTGCCAGGTTGGCTTCACTCAAGAATACCAGTGTCTCTCTGGATCCCTGCTCACCCTACTCTCAGGCATTCATACCACACAAACTAATATCAGTATCTTTCACAGATAACTCAGTTTTGGAATAAAAATCTCCTTCTGTAAGAATTTAAGCCAGGTGTTGGTAGCGAACACCTTTAATCCCAGCACTTGGGAGGCAGAGGCAGTTCCAGGACTGTGAGTTTGAGGCCAGCCTAGTCTACAGAGCCAGTTCCAGGACAGGCTCCAAAACAATACAGAGAACCCCTGTCTCGAAAAACCAAAACCAAACAAAACTATAAAATGTGGTCCCTGATTTTGCTCTCCTAGCTCTTTTGGGGTCACTGTACCATTGCTTTCCTCTGTTAGTGCAGACAGGGGAGATGGAGGAGGAGTCACTCATGTCCTTCCCCAGTGCAAGTTTAGGGTAGCCAGGCTGGAGGAGGGGTGGCTTGCACAGGGTGAGAAGGGGTGAGCTGATCAATGACCTTCTAAGGAAAGAGCCAGGAGGCTGGCCAGGGGTGCTGTGGCTGGCATTCTCTGCAAGGCTGGTGAGGGTATGAACAACTGAACATGAAAAGCAATAGTTAATGCCATCCTTACCTGTCCCCCATGTATCCAGCTGTACAGTGGCATTGTCCAGTCACATGGTCACACTGGCCTCCATGGTGACAAGGGCAATCCTGGCTACAATTCTGGCCAAATGTCCCTGGTGGACAGGGCTGGGCACACACTGCTCCCTGAAATAGAATTGAGGACAGGCTTGGTTGGGTTCCAAAGATACCATGTTGAGGTTATACTGTCCAAGGAATATTGGCGCCTCAGGACACTCCCCCCACCCCCAACTTCCCAGTATAACCAGGAGAGCTGGCATTCATGCTACAGTTAGGGCCACTGAGGCCAGTTCTCTCACCCAATTGTTCAGCATACAGTTAGTGAATACCTGTTGTATATCAGGTGCTGAGTTAGATACCTGGAGCAGAGAAAGCAAGTGTGATTTGATACCTGTCCTCCCAGGGTCTTGGGGAGACCACCAAGGAAGCTAAGTAGAGTATATAATGCTAGTCCTGCCCACATGTACTAGCAAATAAAAGCTGTGGAGATACAAGAGGATCCCCCCATTAAACATCCAGCTGTGGAGACATACTTCTGTGCCTTTCCTAAATCCAGCTACTATGAGAGCAGAAGACCCAAATGGAGGTGGGGAGGAAGGGAGGGGAGAAGTAGGGTGTGAAGAAGGGGAAGGAGCAGAAAGAGGGAGGAGACGGGGGAGTGAAGGACTAGAGGGAGGAGAAATGAAATAGGGGATATATGACTGCCATCAGCGCATTACAAATTTTATTTTTAAAAGATTTTTAAAAACATATTTTTATTTCTGTGTATGTATGCCAAGGGCATTTGGATGCCCAAGGATTCTAGAAGAGGGCTCCTGGAACTGAAGTTACAGATGGTTGTGAGCTCTTTGAACTTGGGACCTTTGGAAAAGCAGCAACGGCTCTTAACCACTGAGCCATCTCTCCAGCCCAGTGTTTTATATTTCTAAAGGCAAACTTAAAGTTTTTAGAAAGAGGAAAATAGTCACATACAAAAAAACGGGAATCAAGTTCTTAGAGGTCTTAGCTAGAAATTAGATGGCAATGGAGCAATTCCTTAACATTTTGGAGAGAAAACAATTTTCAGTCTAGTACTGACTGCCAAGAAGCAGGGAGGGTGTGAAAGGAGGGAAAGCCTGGACCTTTAGCACTTCAAGAAAACAAACCAGTTACAACAAAACAAGACAAAATCCCTTTGTCTAGGATTTTATACCTACCAAAACAAATACATCAGTAGGAGATCTGATAGGACAGTTTCAGATTTGAACAAACTTACAAGCACTGACCTTTATGGGTACTTTAGGGTAACTAACTGGAAGATGCCCTACCCCTCATCAAAATAATAATAATAATAAATGTCCAAGGCTGGTGATAGAGTTCAGTCAGTAGAGTGCTTGGCTGGCATGTGTTAAGCCCTGAGTTCAATTCTCAGCATTATATAGACTCGGTGTGGGCATACACACCTGTAGGTGGAGGCAGGAAGATTAGAAGTTCAAGGTCATCCATGGTCATTCTTGACTATGTACCAAGTTAGGCTGTGATATGAGATCATGTTAACCCCACCCCCCAAAAAAAGAAAGATAGAAAAAGAAGGAAGATAATTATTCAAGAAAAGCTAAACAAACAAACTAACATGGACACTGAGAACCAGGGCCCCATCGAAAGGAATGTCAGGACAGTAGTGAGTATGCCAAGCAAAGAGCTCACACAACAGCAGAAGCACAAGGTGTTCTGACCACTGCCTTGAAACACAAGGGCAAAAACAAAAAGGGAGTGAGTGAGTGAGTGAGTAAGGGAGGCCTGGAGGCAGGGAGGCAGGGAAGGAGGGCAGGACTTCTGAGGTTTCTGACCTTATAATTTTAGACTTTGCCTGAGCTGTTAGATAAATTAGTAATGGCACACACAGGCATGTTAACATAAACATCGTGAACTTAGCTGTGTCCTCTCCTGTTTTTCTTCTGGGAGCTGACCTGTACTCTGGGCTCTTCCCCTCTTTCTCTGAAGCCCTCCTCCCTGCTGAGTGGCTGCTTGTCTCCCATGAGTCTGACCTCCATGCCAACTCAACCCAGATGGTGGGTGGGGGGGCTAGAATTAAACTGAAGTAAAATTTAAGTTTATTTATTTATATATGTGCATGCCTGAGTGCCATGGCATGTATATGGGGGTCATAGGACAGCTTTTTTGAATCACTTCTCTTTCTGCCATATGGGTCCCAGGGGTTGAACTCAGGTTATCAGGCTTGAGGACAATAGCCTATGCCACTAAGCCATCTCACCATCCTAAATCTTGGTCTGTGGGCCGAAGTCAATAGTTAAAAAGTGACAGTAAACATGTTAGGTAGAAAACAGAGGGAGAAGAACCAAGAGACACAAGACTAGGGTTGCAAGCATTATATACTGAGGACTGTTTTCTCTCTGCCGCCACCCTCCAGTATCAGCCTTGTGGTATACACCTTTAAAACAGTTTGTATAAATTCCAAGTCTACATCAGATGCCTGAGTCTAGACTTGTCTCCTGCCACCCTTTCAGCCTCATGCCAGAGATAATCATTTCTCTTATGGAGAATGAAGATGATCCTCCAATTAATTAATCAATTTGTTCAACACACAGTTATTAAGCACCAATAATCACCGGCCCCAAAGAAGCCAGTTCAGTCAGGAGAAGTCTGCCAGACCAGAGTCATCTTTCGGCATCATGTTATTGAGTTGTAATGAATTAAGTGGGAGGCTTTCAACTCAGATTTCCCTCTGCAGGCACCGAGGAGCCTAGAGAAGGGAGGGCTGTGAGGTGAGCATACAGAAGTATTTGTGGGGGTAGTCTGGGGATGCCAGGGTCTTTTTCACCAAACCCCATGAGCTTAGGGATCCTTGGGTGATAAAAGGAGTCTCTGGCTTCTTTGAAAGTCTGTCCTCACTATCTGGGGATGTTTGAGTGTACTCTAACCCTGAAAATATTTCAAGCCAACTTGGGCAGGGAATGCTTATGCCTACCTGTCCCCTCACCCTCAAACAGATGAAGCCCTCATTCATTTACACACCACACACACACACACACACACACACACACACACACAGATAGAGAGAGAGAGAGACAGAGACAGAGAGAGACACACACAGAGAGGTGACCTCTGGTCTCTAGGAAGTTGTAAAGATAAAGTGAGATTAGGAATACAAAGGAAGCGGTACAATGCCTTAATGAGTGGCACTTAATGAATGTCAACTGAACAAAGTTGACATTGATGAGGTGGTACAGGACTACATAAATGATCAACTACCGCTGGTTAGAAGAATGACCTTTGGAGGAGGCAAGCAAGAGTAGGGGTTGCTTTCCCGCTGTGACTTTAATCTTCTTGAGAATCACAGGCTGCAATCCTAACTCCCGGTGTGTCTGGATCATATGTGGACAGTGGCCTTTGCAGAGATGAAGCCAAAAACTTGTGTAGGTGGGCCCTCATCTAACCTAACTTTGGGGGTTAAGACAGATGTGTAGGGGACTGGAGGGTTAGCTCAATCAGTAATATGCTTGCTATGAAAACATGAGGATTTAGCTTTGATCCCAGATCCCATGTAAAAAGACAGACATGATGATGTGTGCTGGCTAGTTTTATGTCAACTTGATACAAGCTAGAACCATTTGGGAAAGGGACTCTCAATTGAGAAAATGCCTGCATAAGACTGGCCTATAGGCAAGCCTGTAGTGCATTTTTTTCTTCTTTCTTTTTAAAAGGTGTGTGTGTGTGTGTGTGTGTGCGTGTGCGTGTGCGTGTGTGTGTGTGTGTGTGTGTGTGTGTGTGTGTGTGTGTGTTATGTATATGGGTGCTTTGTATGTACATCTGCACACCAGAAGAGGGCATCAGGTACTATCAGAGAGTTGTGAGCTAGTATGTGGGGGCTGGGAATTGAACTCAGGACCCCTAGAAGAGCAGCCAGTGTGCTTAACTTATGAGCCATCTATCTCTACAGGCCCTATAGTGCATTTTCTTAATTGGTAATTGACATGGGAGGGTTCAGCCCATCATGGGTGGTACCGTCCTTGTGCTGATGGTCCTGGGTTCTATAAGAAGACCAGAGGACAAATGAAGAAGACAGCCATCTCCAGACTGGGGAGAGAGGCTCAGAAGTTACCAGCCCTGCCTGATGGCGTCACCTTGATCTCAGACACTCAAACACCTTTCTCAACCTCCAAGCCCAAGAGAAAACAAATTCCTATTGTCTGAGCCATTTGACAACCTGACAAGGTCAGGTGTGTCTCCACTGTAGTGGGCTCCTGGGCTACATAGCATTTAGAAGGCTGGCACAAAATGGGGCAAATCCTGCTCTTCTAACTTGTCAGGCCTACTGTTTCTGTGGGACTCTGGACATCAGCTACACTGTAAGAGGTCTGTGCTCAACAGAAGATCAAAAGGAAGGGGCCAAGATGCAGCTCAGTCTTGCCAGCATTTTGGGCATTCACAGTGGCTGCTGTCCCTGGGTGGAACCAACCCATGGAGACACTTAGTGGGAGGTGAAGGTACTGTGGAGGTGATCTCAACCTCAGGACCAGCCACTGGCCTCTACAGTCATCTTTCCAACCCCTAATGTCTGAGATGCCAAAGTGTAAGCCATAAAAGTTCTCTCTGGGCCTCCACCATCATCAGCCCTGTTTCCCAGCTTCTGGCTACACCCTTCTTCCTGCCCATCATTTCCTTGGCATGTGAGTGTCTGTGTATATATGAGCATATATGAATGTACCCATTCCATTCAGCCTCTACGTCAGACAGGGAATTCCCGAGGGGCCAATTGCAGTCCTTCCTGCTTTCTGCCTGTCTCCAGTGCCCCTGGTCATCAAGCTACCCAAAGTTACCCTCTTTACTCTGCAAAGTCTCAGAGCCTAGCAGAGGTGAGGAAATAGCTCCCATGTTCTTTGTATGGTCCTCTCCACACTGGATTCATTATAGCCAGGCAAGTGAAGGGGCCTATGGCATTCCTGGGGGCTGGTGACCCTGAGGGCCAGATGAGCCAGAGCTCCCAGAAGCTCATCTGTACTCAGTGTCCCAACAGAGTGGTGGCAGTGTGCAACCATTCCATCAGCCTCAGAGTGGGAAAACCAATGGCTGAAGCCCTGTGGGGGCCAATGGCAAGTCAGGCAATGGAAGATAAGGACAGGTGACCCTTCCCCCAAACAGCCTTTTCTTGGCCCCAGCTCTCATCGGAGGAGCCTCAGGCTTGAGCTGAAGCTTCATTTGTGACTCTGCATGCACCAAGGTATTAATAATTCATGCAAATCTGCAAGTTCAATGCTATGTCAAAAATAGAAATGTGATTGTCTATCATAAAATTTAAAACAAAGTCCTCAGCACCAAAGCTTTCTATAGACAGGGTTTCTTGTCACCTGAAAAAGGTGTTTTAGGAAAAGAGCCACTGCTATGTGTTGGCTTTCTCCTTCTCCTGTCCCTGAAGTTCAGCAGCCCACAGCAGTGTTTCAGAAGAAGCCTCTCCAGGTCCAGGGCTCCCTCCCTGACTGATGGGCTTCCTTGAGCCCTGCCTGTGGGCACTGGATACCTGGAAGCTGGTGAGAGAGGCCTTTCCAAAAAGCAGGTCAGGGTGGGAGAAGGGGACCTGTGAGAGAGGTGATCTTATCCTCTCTGTCCTTTCAGAAGAGTGTGGAGAGGGGAGGGAGAAAAAAAGAGAAAGGAATGAAAACAATAGAGAGGAAAGAAAAAGGGACACATGGGAAGACAGAGAGGGATACAAGGAGGAAGAAGAAAAAGAGAGGAAGAGGGGAGAGAGAGAGTGAGAGGGAGGGGGAGAGAGGGGGAGAGGAAGAGAGGAGAGGGAGAGGGAGAGGGAGAGGGAGGGAGAGAGAGAGAGAGAGAGAGAGAGAGAAACATGGGTAGAGTGGTTCTGGAGTTGAGTCCCAGGTTCTAACTCCACGTCTAACTCTTAACTCCTAAAAACATTGTGGTCTAAGGCAGGACTAACCTGCCTGCTCTCAACCCTCTTATCCAAGAAAGGAAATTTATGGTCAGACCACAGTGTTCAAGACTCTTCAAGCTGTGACTGGTGGTGTTTTTACGACCTGTCTCCTAGTAGACTCAGATGGAGTTGTGGGAGCCTGAATTCAAATGATGAGATTTCCATCCCAGCCCCCTGCAAGGAGCTAAAGGGTTCTATGGGACACAGAAGGAAACCCTTTGCTCTTGATCAATGACATCCGAGTGCAGCTGTGTCTGCATGATGCCATCCTGAGTCATCTGGGGAGCTCATTAAAGATGGCATTCCCAGAGGCTCAAGTGTAACCCCTGCCCCTCACTGACTCAGGTATGTAGCCATATTTGGCCACACTGGATTCCTAAGGTCCCTCCCTGTCTAGAAACATGCTTGGGCCTGCAGATGTCCTTCCTGGCTGCCCTTGGGAGCGTGGTGTCGAAATCCTCCTGAAATATCTTGCTCTACTCATCAGGCCTGTCCTCAGGCCCTGGGGAGGCAACTGAGCCCCTCCTGAAATGGGGCATGCTACAGGGGATACAGTGTGGAAGGGCAGCCTCTGAGGCTGGCAGCTTTTCAGGGGCTTGGGACCATGGGGAGGTGCTGATGGGGGAGCCTGGCAGCTGATAGGAGGCTGTGGCTAGCCTGTGACATCCAGGGGTAAAAATCAAGCTGGTATAAAAGGCTTTGGCATTTGCCAAGCACTGTGGATATGCAGTCACACCCGAGGGTTTTGCCTACCATGACAGCCAACCCAAGCAAAGCTCACTGAAGGCAAATCATTTGTGTACGTGGGGAAGCCAAGACTAGAGGCAGGAAGGTTTTTCCGGGACAGCTTCAGACATGTCACCCGAAGGTAGGCCTCCACGGATGAGGTTATATCCCTTCCTGCTTCCCATAGTGGGGGTTCCCAGACTGGAGGCCTGGGCTGGTAGATGCTCTATCAGAAGTACCCGAAGCACTTGGGAATATAGCAGATTCTGGGGGTCACAGAGTCAGCATGAATATGTGAGCTAGGGTAAGGTTTCACAAATTCAGATGAACCATACCCTGCTGACTCCTCTTTCCTAATGCCTTCTGCCCCACCTGAAGCTCCTTTGGGTACCCAGACCCAAATTTTTTACATTAAAAACATGTTTTTTCCCAGACAGGTTCTCATGCAGCCCAGGCTGGCCTTGAACTTATATAGCTGAAGATGACCTTGAGCTTCTGATCCTCCTGCCTCTACCTTCCAAGTGCAGGAGTTACAGGTCTGTGCTACCAGGCCCAGTTTAATGTGGTGTTAGGGACCAAACCCAGGGATCATGGGCAAGCATTCTACCAACTGAGCTACATGTCCCGCCCTAGACAGAGCCAATCATATGAGGAAAACCCAACTCCTTTGCCTGTGAGAGACCACTGACTCAGACAGGCTAAGAAACTTGCCTTGGGCCACAAAGACCCTAGACCTGGGACTCTCCACTGCTAATGAGTGTCTCATGGTGACTCACAACTACAGACAGGGGTAGAGAGAGGAATTTAGCCTTTCATGGCCTTGTGATGGATGCCAAGACCTCTTATGGTGCCCACCTACATCTTGAGGGTCTACTTACCGTCCAGCCTGGCGGGCAGGCACACTCCCCAGTGATGTGGTGGCAGGTGCCCCCATTTTGGCAGGGGCAGCGTAGTTCACAGTGAGCTCCATGGCTTCCAGGGGGGCACAGCTCCTCACAACTGCACGGAGAGGGAAAAGGGAGAACAGGATTCCCAAGAGCGTCCAAACGCTCAGACCCAATGCCCCAGGGCTCCCTGGTGAGCCTTGAACAGTTAATCTCAACCTCAACCCACCTGGCACCTGAAGCTTCCCCTACCACATGTGGAGTATATCAGCAATCAGCCCACCTACCTTAATCCTGCACCTTAAGAGTGGATGTTCTGATCCCTGCCAGTAGGGGGAGACAGGTCTCAGATATAATATATTGAACTAACTGTAGGGCCAACATTTGAAAGTTCTAGGGAGGAGGCTGAAGAGACCTTCTCTCAGAAGATGGTTTACTTACGCCTTGAAGGTGAGGCTAATTTCACTTGAGAGAGGGAAGGGCATGCCAGATGGATGAAACACCAAGAGCAAAGGGGGCTAAGAAGTGGCCTTGGATTTTGCTTTCAAAAACCTGCCTCCTCTTCTTCCTCCTCTCCCTTCTGCCCCTCTCTTTCTCTCCTTTTTTTTAAAGATTTATATCTTTATGTATTTTATGTGTATGAGTGCTGGCTCTCCCTGCATGTATGCTTGTGTGCCAGAAGAGGGCATTGGGTCCCATTATAAATGGTTGAGAGCTGCCATGCAGTTGCTGGGAATTGAACTCAGGATCTTTGGAAGAGCAGTTAGCACTCTTACCCGCTGAGCCATTTCTCTAGCCCCTGAAAATCTGCCTATTTTCAAAGGAGGAAGCCAGAAATTCCAAAACATGTCCTTTCCAGGCTCTGAAAAGCCCCAGCTGCCATGGGGGGGGGGCGGGTGCCAGCCACTGTGGAGCCTGGGGAAGGTCTGTATTATTGCCTTGGGTCTCATTCCAATGGACATGGCTTCAAGCTCAAAGCCCTGGGACCCAGACCTTGGGGCAGGAAAGGCTCTCAATGCAGGGTGTCTTGTTGTCAGCATCCTTGGCTGATGCCTAAGGATATAGGATGACTCTAGAGCCTTTTGCAGGGTCTGTGAGTGTCAACTAAGCTGTCTTGGGGATCCCCTATGAGTGTGGCTTCCCCAGGGCACAGAAGTGAGGGGACCAATCAACTCATGAGATATCAGTTGGGCTCTTACCAGCCCTATGCCTCAGATGTATCAACTAGGAGGGCAAACAGAGGCATACTGCAGCGGTCAGAAGAGAAGGCCAAGCTCACTTCTGTGTCCCTAACTGTGAAGGGTCCTCTGACATGTGACTTGTCTCCAGTAGGATTCGTGGCATGAATGTGAAGCTGTGTAAGTGAGGCCTGAATACTTAGACACTGCTGCACCTGGGGTCAGAGGGCAGATGTTACAACCAGGACTTTCTGCTCTCATCTTCCTGCCCACTAGGGTGCTATGAAGTTGCCAAAGAGCCTTGAAAGCCCCAGTAGGGCCCCTAGGCCCCAGCACTGTCCTGCTCCAAGCCAGGGTCATCCAGGCCATATATGTATGTCTTCCTCTCCCAGCCCGGGCCTCTCTCCTAGCTCCGCCCCATCTCCTCTTTCCCCACCCCTGCAGTCCTGACCTCTCCCTGGCCCCACCCCCAGATCACGTCCTTCCTACTCACTAAACGCCAGTGTAGCCAGGTGCGCAGAGGCACTCGCCAGTGCGCGGGTCGCAGCTGGCGCCGTGGTGGCACTGACAAGGCAGCTGGCAGCCCTTGCCGTGGGTACCGGGCGCGCAGAGTTCTTCACAGCGCCAGCCTCGGAAGCCAGGGGCGCACACGCAGGCGCCGGTGATAGGGTTGCACAGGGCGCCGTTCTGACACTGACACCGGTTGCTGCAGTGGGGACCCCAGTGCTCGCTGTCGCAGCCTGCAAGAGAGGACACAGGGTCAGGGCTTTCTTAGAACAAAGGTTCACACGGCCGGCCTTACCATCTCCAGGGTCCCTGGAGAAGAGGCTGCTGCGGGGGTGTCTGGAGACTTCCATTAGGCTCCACCAAGTGTTCACCAGAGCTGAAGACAGCACAACCTCAAAGGCCTCCCATCCCAGCCTGGCAGCTCACTTCCAAACGATGCCACTGCCCTGCCCCCAATGCAAACCTGGTCACAGCTTTCTGCCTCCCGTCTCTGGGAAGCTCTCCTTGGCTGGTCTGTCTCTAGTCCTCTCAGCTGGACCTTCTCTCAGTGCTCCTGCCACCTCTCTTCTCTGTGACCCGTTCCTCTCCGTGCCAGCTGGGTCCAGCAGCATAGCTGTCTGTGCAGCCATCTTTTCTCCTTTTCCACTCACAGTCTCATATCTCCCTCCCTGACTCAGGACTCTCTTCTGACTCACTGTGCCCACCCCGGCTCCACCTCTTTACTCTCTTTCCCTCTTCCTCCTTTCCAGGAATCCCTCCAGGCCCCTAGATGCTTCTTCAGTTCAATTTCCTCACTGCCCAAGCTCCTTCAGAAAGGGCAAGAAAAAAAACAAATGTATCCCTGGGAGGTAACAGACAGCCTTGGAGATCTTTCTCTGTAATTAAACGTTTTCAAGACTGATGGCTTTCTGGAAACCTGCATTCTAAGCCATGGAAAGGGATAGAGACCCCAGGAAGGTTACCCAGCCTGTTGTCACCTCTCACTTTGACCCTTTTGAGAGGTGCATTCAGGACACAACAACAACAACAAAAATAAGATGTCCCCCAAACACTGGGATTTTTTAGGTACTGCCAGGCTCAAATGCTGTTTTAGTATATCGAAGGCAAGAAAGATTGCTTCCAGTTAAGACAGTCAGGTGAGGGGTCCTCATTGCAAGTGGGCAGTGAAAGATGGCTCACTTGTCTGCCTGCCAGATGACAATTTGTCTTGCTTTTTACACTAAAAGTCCCGTTTCAAAGAGTACCTTAGCCCTGGGCAAGCTGGAACAGAGAGTGACTCTTCTGCCTATGGACACAGATGGCCAGCTGATTTTTGTACCCCAGCTTTCTAGGATTTTGATACTCAGAGAAAAAGTGTCCTTGGGGTAGGCCACTGTGAGCAGAGACACAATGGCACTCTAGTGATGAGCAGGCACAAGAAGAGGGGGTTTGGTGTAGCCTGTGAATATGCTGGGGCTCAACCAGCATCACCAGTTTTACACAGGTCCCTCCTGATAGCTGATTGGGTCAGTATCCAGAAGCTCCAATCCATCCTGCAGTAGACAGGGCCACTGAGTCTCTGGTCCCCACCACCCCATCTTGGCTCACGCCTTCAACTTTATCAATATTGATAAATACAGAATGGGGCTGCCAAACTATCAGTAGGCATCACCTTCAGTTTCCCGGTCCATTCAGAGTAACAGCCTCCACTCACACTGACAGTGGCTCACAGGACCATGGCAGCAGTGGAACATTCCTCAGCGTGTGTGTGTGTGTGTGTGTGTGTGTGTGTGTGTGTGTGTGCGCACGCACACACCCACACGCATGCCGGTCCATGCTCTCTTTTTGTCCCTTCCCGTTTTTTGAATATGTATATATGCTTGTTTGCACGTTTGTGGGAATGTTTGCATGTGTGCATGCTGTGTGTGTTTATGCTCACGGAGGCCCAAGGTTATGACAGGAACCTTTCTCAATCACTCGCCCCTTATTAGATGAAGGCAGGTCTATCAGACAAACGCAGAGCTTGTGGATCTGGCTAGTCTCATCAGCCAGCTTGTTCTGGGAATCCCTGTCTCTACTTGAAGCTGAAAGTACAAGCAGCCTCCATACCCACCAGGCATTTATATAAGTTCTGAGGATTTAGACAAGTGCTTTAACCAGTGAGCTGTTCCGCACTCCCTGCTCTGTCTTTATTGCCAAGCACATGTAGTTAGTATTCAATGTGTGTGTGCTACGATTCCATTATAATAATGATAGTCATATTTAACTTTCCCCATGTGCCAGGCCCCCATCCTTGAAATCTTACAGGCATGAACAGTATTTAATCCTTACAGGCTTCACTTTCTTCCCTACTTTATAGATGGGAAGATAGGGGGTCATGGAAGTTACATGGTTGTTCAGGTTATAACAGGGCAGCCAAGGTCCCCTGATTCCAGGTCATTGCTCAGGTACATGGGACAGAAGTACACAGTGACATAACACACACATGCACAAACATGTGCCTGTACACACGCATCCACACACACCCAGGCCCCAACAGCACTGTGTCCAAGCATGGAAAAAAAACAGAAAACACAGAGATGAAAAAAGTGCAGCTAACTGCGGCTGTCAGAGGATGGACACATAGTATCCAACCTGACAGGGAAAAGGTATGTTAAATCAAACAGTTCTGAGCAAGGAAGCAAGGAAGTATGTCACCCATAGCAGAGAAATTTCTCCCCAGAGTGACTCAGTGGGGAAAAATGTTAGGAACCACAGTGATGAACTTTAGTTATCTGAAAAACTCACTTAAAAACTCCTCATTCCCCAGTGATGATAGGGAAATGAGGCAGAGCCAGGAGAGTCAATTACCTACTCTGCTGAAGGCAAGTAGAGCCATCACTCCACAATTACAGTGGGGCCTGTGCTCCTCCACGGAGCCATACACTCTGTCCAATTTGGCCAGGCCGTGTCAAACCCTCACATAGGTCCCCCCCCCACCCCCGTCACAGACTCTGCTCTCTATATTTTGTTTCTGCTGATTTTTCAGCTTCTCTGGCAGCTACCAAGGGCTTAAGGGGCATCACGAGAGGTACATGGCCAGCAGCTCCCCCACCCTGCCCCCCCCCCCCCCCCCCCGCCCCCCCCCCCCAAGCTGGCCCCTTCAGACTCAGGGATCCAGCTTTGTGGGCTCCGGGGTCCTCACAAGGGGAACAGTTTGAACCCTGTCTTCCCCAGTGACTTCACTATGGACAGGTTTCTCGGTTTGTAGTCATACTTGATGGAGCTTTTACTATACAACCAGGCTGTGTACCAGAGGTGCAAAGTTGGCTTTTCTCACTTGGGGTCATGGATACTATTACTATCCCCATTTCTCAGACAAGGAAGAGAGTCTCAGAGAGGCTAAGTAACTTATTCTAGGGCATATGGTAGCCAGGAAGTGACTGGGAGCCTGGGAGGCTGACACCTGCTGATTAAGGCCTAATGTCACTGCAGGGGATGTAGCATGCTGGCAGCTAGCCTGGTCTTGACCAGCTAATGTTAATAATCTACAGAGATAACTGCTAAGGCTGTAGATCGGTTGCCTTCCTGATCTGCGAGAGGACACTGCACAAACAGGGTATGGCGGCACACATCTGTCGTCCCAGCACCCAGGAGGTAGAAGCAGGAGAATCAGAAGATCAAGGCCATGCTCAATGACACAGTAAGTTTGAAGCCAGCCTGGGCTACACGAGACACTGCCTCGAAAAAGAAAAACAATCCACATGTTGAAGACAGAGGGCCAGTTCCCACCAGTGCCTCATTCAGAGGTTGGTTTATGTATAAATAGTAGTCCCGGGTTTTCCACAGATGACCCAATTTCCTATCATTTTTATTCTTGCCAGTTAATGCACTGACTTATTAATATTCTTCGATTGTGTTATGTGGCATTAAATTCCCGTGTTAATCACTTATGCACACAACCTGATAACGCCCATCACCTGTGCTAACAGTAACACTACCATGTTCAGCTGCTTCCAGAGACACTCGACAACCAATTGCAGTGACTTCCCACCCTTGGCCTTTAGTGAATGTTAATCTTTCTGCATTTGTCAACTGTAGCCATTCATATGAATGGAATCATAAGCAGCAGACTTTCGTGTCTGACTTATTTCACTTAACATAATGTTTTCAAGGTCCATCCACGTTGGCTCCGTACTGCATTCTTTTAGTGAATGAGTAGTATTCCACTGTATGTATGCACCACATCTTGTTTATCCATTCGTGGGGTGCTCCCACTTTTTGGCTATTGTAAGTAATATGGAATTACTATTGACACACAAGATTTTTAATTTTTTTATGTCTTCCTTTTCCCTTTCGAGACCGGGTTTCTCTGTGTAGCCCTGACTGTCCTGGAATTTGTTCCACAGACTAGGCTGGCCTGAATCTCAGGGATCCACCAGTCTCTGCCTCCCAAATGCTGAGATTAAAAGTGTGCACCACCATACCCATTCTTGTCTTGATTTGTTGTGTTGTGTTCATGCATATTGGGAAAGTGCCCTACCATTGACCTGTGAGCATCTTTTGAGTCCTCCAGGCTCATTTATTAAAGGTGAAACTAAACAATAGTTTTATGCTTTTCTTGACTTTTTCCTATTTGGAAGGACAGTTTGGCTCACCACTGTTGCTATTGGGTTTAGACGCCTGAGTCCAGTTTCTTCCATTAACTCTGGAGTTTTGTTGGGTTGAGGTGGAGGAAGCTAGGTTGTGTCCTTATGTTATGATATTCTCCCCACCTTCCTTCCAAAGTTCCACATAGCTAGGCACAAAGGAGCTGCCTAGAGTCCTCTTTCCCCAGTAGCACACAGGGTTCCTTTCCCTAGACAGTGGGCCTTTGACTGGCTGTACCCTGGCATCTAGGGAAGGCACAAAGCAACTCTCCCACAAAGCCCTACCCCTTATCACTTTTTCCCTTCAGACAGGGTCTCATGTAGCCCAGACTGGCCTTAAACTAACCATGAAGCTGAGAATGACCTTGAACTTCTGCCTCTATCTTCTGAGTGCTGGAGTGACAATTGTGTGCTAGTTTATGTGGTGTCTAGACAGAACCCAGGTTTTCACACAGCCTGTGAATGCTCTCTACCAACGGAGCCACATCCCGGCCTCTCCCCCACCATTTTGATATAACTCATGGCCAAAGGCTGAAGGCCCAACACATGTCTGCTTCCCTTTGGTCCTCTCAGGGAAGTAGGCAAAAGGATGCTGGGTTGGGGTAGGGGATGAGGGGAGAAGGATGGTCCCTCCCATTTCACAGCTAGAGTTCTGAGATCCAACAAGGGGCAGTGACCATCTGCGTGGAGTTTAAGGGGTTGGCTACTCCTGACCCTGAGGGAGGACCATCTTAGCTGATAAA